TTACACACACGATAATCCTTATGCTGTGCTTCCCACTGCTTTGACAGTGTTTTGTTATTTGATAACTGGGGTGTTAGAAGGTATGTTATCATTACCTTTTTCTCTTTTCTTAACAGTCCATCATGATAGGTAAGTCATTTTATCTATGTTTCAGGATCTGCTTTCTGAACACACTTTTGTGAGCAAGAACAGGCATGAAGGAGTGTTTTCAAGTGCTGGGTAGGCATCTCAGCTAGTTCATCATCCTCAATATCTTGTCAAGTTTATTCTCTTAGTATTAACACGTCAAATTTAAAGCAATTAGAATTAAGACTTACCGGCACCAGATAAACTTTGATTATCAATTGTACTACTATCAGACCCCGAGTCTGAGCTATCAGCATAACTCTCAGAAGAGCAAGAACTAGAATCTCTATCCATAGTTATTTTCAAACTAATTAGATCAAAAAGAATCTTTAGAAACTGGAAATTGTGATATAAGAAGAGGTTTGTGGTCAGGAAGGAAGTAAAAGTATTAAGATTCTCTTTCAAATAGACTTATCTATCAGCTATCTTACAGTAACCTTCTCTCTAACCTAACTAGGAGATAATTGCACTCTATTTCATCAAATCTCACTCTTATAATTCATATGAGAAGTTTTACCTATACCCTTATTTTTACTTTTATTGCATTTGGTCTTCTTGGTACAGGTTAATTATGTCTGTTACTTTTCAAGAAAGTGGAGACATTTCAATAAACCTTAAAATAACTATAGATTCTACTCCTGAAAATATTTGAAAATTTAGACACATGTGCATTCAGGAGTGGGCTATATTTCTATGTAAAAAAGTATTTTACGACAAATTTTCAAAATAATCATTACAAGTGGACTGTTGGTTCAATTTTAAAATTAAATATATTTCAAGAGGTCCAGGGGGTACTCTACCCTGTAGCAAATACTGAGAGCCATTCAACTTGTTTTGTGGTTGTTGGCAATCTTGGTACTTTTCGCTGAAATGCACCCACATGAACGTGCGGGAATTGCGCGGCAAACGTAATACCGCTGGGAGGCTATAAAGGATAAATGAATGGTGTTGGGAATGTAATACGTGGACATAGTTTTCAACGTAGTCACGGATCCGGGGTTCATAGAGAAAAGAGAGTAATTTATCTCTTCCCGTATTATCTAGTGCTGGATGAATTTTTCTGCTGGGAATGAGTTTGAGTTTTTTTTCTTTTCTTTCTTCTTCCTTTTACGAGAGGGGTTCTGTTTTTGGCATCTTGAATTGTTTTGGATCGATATTATAATAATATAATAATTATTGATGATTAAATTTTGATAACGAGGTTGTTATTCTTTTGTTATGGGGCGGGGTGATATCGTACTTTCCATGGGTTTTAAAAAACGTCTATCATACGGACTTGACAAAAAAAAAAAAAAAAAAAAAAAACACATGTTAGAATATAAAGGAGCGATTTCTTATCCTCCCACTTTATTCATTGAACGATCCTCGAGCCCAGGACTTTTAGTATGCCTCCACTTGGTAGGTTAGTTTAATATATACCTATAGAGGTGGTCCAATGAACCCCCCCCCCCTCCTCAAGATGTCCGGGGCGGTGGGGAATTGGTGTCGATACACGCTCCATCCTACTTTACTGTTTAGTAGAGCTACGATGCACTACAACTAAGGGTCCCGCTTCCCAAGAAGGTGTTACCGATATCACAAGTCTAGGGCTTTCCCGGTCATGCACAATACCCGACCAAGATGTGTGCACTTCTGCCCGGATTCCAGGATAGAAACCCCATCTGTTGGGCGGGGGAATGGCTAATAGAGTTTTCAATCCCCCTTTCATCCGGCATGTGCATAGAACGTCGTCGAGTTAGTGGCCGACAGCGGATCCAACTCTTGGTAAAATCCAGTGCTTAAACGGGCAATTAAAGGCGGTACAGTACATGGCGCCGCTTCTGCAAGGAGCTCTACTCGAGTACTTTACTGTACTGTACTGTACATCCAACCCGACTGGGACATAACGGCATTGACTTGGCCGCAAACACGCAGTGCAACCTCACTCACCTCACGCCCCCCACAGGAAGACGTTATACCTTAACCAGGAATGTCAGAAACTCTATCCTGCGCCGCCGACACCCCTTCAAAAGCACATCCCTGACCCGGTGGTGAGGGTGGACCCGATGACCGGATCTTTGGGATCTCGGTGCTACCCCGGGAGCAAGGTTTTTATCCAACAGCCAGCAGCTCGTCCCATGAGCCCGGTACAGGGTTATCCCGTTAGCTCACCGGTATTCTCGTGTATGTCAGTCTGTTTTACGGATAAAGATGTTCTTGCCATGTAATCTGCCTCAATGATCCCTTTTGACCGGTCTACGCCGTGCATATGCGTTGTTTGCAGCGCGGTCCCGGGACCCTGGTTGAGCTATGGGACTGAGATTTGGGGATTTGTTTGGGGGGGGGGAGGGTTGCTTGCACCCTTGGTCGGTGATCTTGGTGGGGTTCGTGGTCACCTCAACTTAAAGTACAGTACCTCACTGCGACCCAGAATGGGCTGTGACGTGAAATGACGTTTCTGGCGGATGACCTGCTTAGTAATCAGAGCCAATCTTTGTTGCCATTATATTTTGTTTCATGTCACACCCTTCGTTTCGGGTCACCAAAGTACCGGTACCAGTACTTGTACTAGTACATTATCTCCCCATGATAACTCAGCACTCGTACAATACCAATATCATATCATAGCGGAATATCGGGCAGGGAATGTGCACTGTCCACAAGACGGTATTTGCCCGACACCTGCCGGTACGTGGCCCTTAGCCTTCGGCACTTGGAACTCCCGTGATGCCGGGACTATCATGAATAATAAGATCCTGTTTTTCGAAACAAACGCAACACCATGCCGCGGAGAGGCAAAAGTTCCCAAAAACCGGTCCCATGACTCTGGATGCTGTATGTACGGCACCAGATCAGTGCAGGATGAAGCATCGGATGGAAGCGATAACGAGGTCCTACTGGTCGCCCATATCACCAACTTCACCAATGACTGGAATACGGTCCCAGTGTAAGCAGCTGGGCGTATGACGCTTACAGTTATGCATTCCTACCTTGCTTTGCCTTTTTTTTCTTCCGCTGCTCCCCGAAGTCCAATAGCGATTCGGCGATGTTTTTGGCAGGCAGGCGACGCTTTGGCACGGGCCTTCGGCGAGTGCACTTTCCTAAGGTTTATCCGGGTAACAGCGAGTGGGTGGGTGGCTCGGGCTCTCGGATGCTGGGCGCATCCCTAACCCTGGTCCGTGGGACCGATATGGGGGACGGTTGTAGGGCGAGGCATGATACCGGTAGATGCCGTAGCGATACCGGTAGTATCATAGCGCAATCTGCTCTGGCGAGCAGCGCCCGTATCGTGCGGTCGAACGATGATCCAATGGTAAATACCCGTACGCGGGGGGGGGGAACGGATCATTTCCTTCCTTGTTTTTATTTCTAGGAATGCGGTACTCGCACACGCGATATCGTGCCTCTATCAAGGATATGGTTAAAATTGTAGGAGCACTGCTACTGCACACTATCTCGACATCCAAGCCTCCCCACGAGAGTAGGGCCGGCTAAGGGGTGTGCGCGATAACTGCCAGAAGGTCGATCACGCGGCTCATTGTAAGCAGTGAAATCTGGATTTGATTTCCGGACGCTTTGCACGAAATATCCTGCCGATCGCTCCGGCGAAATGACGTGGCAGGGCAAGATTACTTCGTGGGAAAACTGGTGGCCGTGGGGAAACTTGGATACCGTAGAGGTTGTGTCAGTGATAAGTACGAGTACTGTACTCTACCGGTACCCTACCGCAAATACCGGGACTATGCTCGAGTGAGCACTCAAGCACTAACCAAGAGCAGTGTACTGTACTTATCATAGTACTGTACAGTACTCGTACTTCGAATTCACGGCTATGGGTCGGTTGTATGATAGACTACCGACTGACGTGCCCATCGTATCATGACCTGGGAAGAGTAACAGGATATGGGAAGTGACGACTCGGTAAGGGTTGTCGTGGTAGCGACCACCGTTCCTTGATGCCTAATGCGCACTGAACTCTCTACAAGTGAGGAGGACCCAAGGCATTGCGCCAAAAAAAGAGAGGAAAAGAGAAAAAAAGAAAAGAGGACACTTTCGCACCCTTCAGCGGGCTATTGACGTGGGTGCTATGAGAGCCACTCCGATGACACACGAAAGAAATTGTGCGCTTCGCGATCACGATGAGTTCTTCTGATCCACGCCGCAGCAGAGGATGCACCCTCTGTTTACCATTAACCAGGCTCTCGGGATAGGCCGAACCCGTCACATGAGGGTGCATCACGTAGCCCTACCTACTCTATGAATCCCATCAGCAGCAACATGCAAAGCCCTGGAGATCCTTGCAAGCGAGGAACGAATACCGGGTGGTTGTCTCACATGGCGTCGCTCTTCTTGTCCTCTTCCGCAGGGAGTCTGTTGCTGTTGTCCATGCAACCGCCTTCAATGGGGAAGTGAGGGACAGCGGGGGGAAGCGGGGGAGGGAACAAGAGGTCGCGGTTATGAGAGTTGGATATTACTTGTATAACAGGAATGGAAAGATGGGACTAGACACCTCTCCATTCGCCCACGAGGGGGGAGGGCTCGTCTCGTTGGAACACGACCCAATGCACCTTAATGTGAGGGGGGTTGAAGAGCGAATGTCCATGTGAATTGCGGCGGCACTTCGTCATTGACCAGAGGCACGAGATGGGTAAGCGGGCGGTGGGTTGGTGGGTAGGTAAGGCAAGACTCCGACATGACTCCCTACCTACCTACCCACCCGCCAATCATCTTCCCTATCAACCGGAGAGCCACCGTTACCCCTACTAGAAATGAGGAGGACGAGGTGGTGGCTGTGGTGGGAATGCTTAGAAGTAGTTGGAAAATCTCGTCTCGTGGCATGCTACGGCTTATTATATAAAGGGTCTGCTGCCGGCGATGGGGTCATAGGGGAAAGGGAGATTCAAAGCACCATCGTATACGCTATAATTGCCCATTGCTATCATACCAATCCAGATTCAGATTCAATCATGAGCGAATTCGCACAAACACCAAAACCAACTACTACACCTCCGCCACCACCGCCTCCAAACATGACTTCTTCTCATGATACACCAAGCAATATCTTCTTCCCCCCCTACCTCCTCCAAGACGTCTTTGAGCATCTGGACCCTCTGGACCTGGTCACTTGTAAGCGTGTTTGCACACTCTGGTACTCCATAATCTGGGGCCGCCGCCGGCTGCGACAAAAGCTGTTCCTGCCCCAAGTCACCGCAGAGGAAGCCCCAACAAGCCACCTCGTCAATTCCCCGGATGAAGTCTACGACCTCCACCCCATTTTCAATCAAATCCATTTCGACGCATCGCTGGACCCCGCATCAGCCACCTTTGGCCGACAAAAATGCGCACTCTTGAAGGAATCCAAGGTGAAGGACCATTACGCTACCTACCCGGCGACTACAAGGGTTGAGTTGGACGTTATACACTTTCACCCACACCTGGTGGTGGAGAATGAGACGGGGGTGACGGTTTGGGACGTTATGGAGGCGTTGGCGAAATAGTACTTCTACTCCCCTCCCACTCCCTCCAACCAGATGCCGACCGGATCTAACATGAGAACAGCAAAGCCGAGCCCACACACTTCACTTTCCAATCGTTCTTCCAATCAGACATTTGCAGGAAGCGTGGGTACGACCAGCACCGGCGCATGCATCGCAGGGATTTATTGGGAATAGATAGGTAGGTTAATTTCCGCCTGGCCGGCCGGTGGGTCCTATTGGTATTGCCCGAGCTGATTTGGAAGCGGAAGCGTGTTCATCACCTTCAACGATAGAGACCCCAAAGACGGACGGGTATTCGTTAGCGATTCGTTCGAGTCGCGGGAGGGTGTCGCCGTGGGCAAGAAGTATAGGTTTTGGAGCGCTTTTGCTTTTTGCGAATTTCCGCCGAGGACCGAGTGAAGGTGGGTGGGTGGTGATGTGAGTTTGGAGTGGGGGGGGGAGCGATTGCGACCGTGATGGTGAGGTGATGATGATGACTGTGGCGCTTTCTCCTCTTTTCTTTTCTCTTCTTTGGGTGGCTTGTGATGTTTTCTCTCCCGTCGTTTCGAATTCTTTTCTTCTTTTCTTTTTCGAGTTTGGTGTGGGTATTTGTCGATTTGTGACTTGCGTTCGCTTATCGAGGAGTTCTTTGGGATTTTTGATTCGATATGCTCTTGTAATCTACCAATATTGGACTCTTTAGTACTTTCTCGTACTGTACAGTACATCGCCTCGTCCCCGCTATCTATCCACAGTACTCGTAAATTATTATGCCTGGCCATCGTCCGCTCATCAAAATCTCATCATCTACCGTCCAATACGCTACCAGCACTCCGCAGTGGGATACCGGCACTATACCCGAGCGATAAAAAAGGATACCGGATAATAGAATAAGCCTGAAGCTCAACAATAAGCTCCCCCCCCGACGATATCTACCGGTACCCACGGCCCCCCGCTGCTATCATATGTTAGCTTATTCCCTCCATGAGCCCTCGCATCCAATCCTTCATTCCCCGGCCTCACCACCTCACTCCAAAGCTCTCGTACCGGTATTGCCCACGGCTAAAGCTCAAGCCACGAAACCCAACCCCGACCGGGGCCGGGGTTCACGACGGAGTAGGTGCCGGTACCGATATGATACCAGTACGAGTACTAGTACTTTCCACGTTCTCTAATCCGCCAGCACGGGTCCAAATAAGCAAGTAGGTCTATGAGCACCGGGGTTCTCCGAGTTATGATACCATGTCGTCGGCACGTGTTATGATATGTCTCCGGGATGCCATGCCGAGTAACACAGCACCCGAAGAAGATTTCCTTCCTTCAACCCGTTTGCCGCCTTTTTCGATCGGTTCGTGCTGAGTTTGCTTTTTTACTTTTTTTTCCTTCACTTTTCTTTTCTTTTTGCATTTTTCGGGGGGGGTACGGTGAAGGCGGCGGATTATGGTGTGGTACCGGTATCCCATGGACTGCTGAAACGTTGAAGAAGAAAAAAAATGTTTGTGTCCCGTGGCTTTCGGGGCGGCGGCGTTTCAGCTGTAGCCGGTATTTCCATGGATTTGTTTGCCGTGTACAGTACGATATACGCGTGCGTGGCAGACGGGGCTAGATTTTGGGTGGTTTTGGGGTCGGGATGGATTCTGAGTCGTGAAATATGTGGTGAGAAGCAGGCCTACAGGTAACTTATGAGTTTCTCCCCTTGACTCTCGACTTGTAGATACAATACATGTGCATTAATTATGTCCTGGCCGATGACAATCCGGATAGGCGAACCGACGGGACTTCGAGTTGGAAGCTGCCTTGGGCCACTTGCTCTGACGCCGTGTCGGGCACCCCTGCATCTTGCGCTGTCGGAGGTGTATTTGCCTTCTTCGTGTTTCCGGCTTGTGTGATAGCACCTCCGATTCGAGGTATATGGTAATCCTCTCCCGTTCGCTCATGTCTTGCTCAATCGGATTAGTGTTTCCTGGCTCATCGCTGGGTACTGTACCGCCGTTTCCCCCCAACCGCCAATTTCATGCTCCGTCCCAGTTGTTGGGGGTAGAGAATTCAAAGGATGGGGGAGACGCTAGGATGCTATCTATAAAAGTAAAGAACAAGGCAGAAGGTTAGGAAAGCTGGAAAGCTTCGGGGGTTTAAAAGCTGGGGTACGATGCAGTGATAAGATATCTTTGCTCAATAACTTGAAAGTCTGGAAAAAGTTTTTTGTCAGTTATCATATAATAATAATTATTATTATGAAAAGAACATGCATCTAGAAGCAGGTATCATATGAGCAAAAAAACTTAAAGTGAACAAGCTAGCAAAAAAAAAAAAAAAATCTTTTTCAATTTAAAGGCATTCCCATATTTCTCGGAAAAAAGAATAAAAAATAACATTTGCTCCTCGTTGTGGCTAACTAAGGAAGGAAATATAAAGAAAGCCTTAAAAATCTCTTGAAATCCGCCACCCCCATCACGGTCAGATTATCTGTGGATGTCAGCGCTTCAACCCGTGATAGGTTTTAGTTTGGCAGGTTGACAGAATTGCGAAATACTAGTTAATTTAAACGAGATCTAAGGCATCCCCAGCAGTCGACCTTGTATACAGCCTCCTGTCGAAAAAAATAATACCGTAATTGGGAAACAGGGGGGGGTGTTGACAGGGTTCAACAGGGGGGTTGAGATATATCCCAATTTGTAATTAAACTCTAGAATACATGATAATCACCACCATGTATGCCTACTGTTGGTACTGAATACAGCTTGAAATCGATCCAGAATACTATCGACTAACTTTACAATTTCTTCTACTATGATCTTGCTTCACTCATCAATTAAGGCTTCTTTGACTTGTACTCAGCCTTACAGTCTTTGGTTACACTGGTTGGCATGGGTACTCGTACAATTTCATAAATTTTCAACAGAGTTAAGGTTCCGCGATGCAGGTGGTCATTTAAGTAAGAGGATCTTATAGTAGTGGTAGGATTGAGCACATAAGTATGATGAAATTGTACTCCATCCTTAGTGAGCTAAAGAGAAGAATCCATAAAGCAACTCTCATGATACCAGAATGGCAAGATTATGGGAAATAGTATGTGATTAATATAGGTTTAGGTTGAACTTGGAATTGTATCCTAATTATCATATTTCTAAATAATAACAACTATCTTTTAAACATCTTCCAACATCCCCCTCCAAACTATAACTGAATCTTCTTTCTGAAGTTTTGAGATTGGGTGGTCCTCATATCACTCCTCCTATATATTCAAGTACCACATACTTTTTCTTACAATTCATACAGTTAAATATAATATTCATCTGTTTATATTAAAGGCTTCTACTCCTGTATCTTCTAAGAAAATTGACTGAGAGTAAAGGAAAGATGTTCACTAGTAGTATACTTGTCATCAAGACAATGCTTCTGACAAGCAGATTATCAAAAATGTTCAAGTTCTTTCTTTGCAATTGAATTTTAAAGTACTTTCTTGCTAGCCTCAATATTCAACTCTTGAGAAATATTTGCTAGTTGCATATGACAGTATTTAGCATCAGAAGTAGCTAAAACTACAAGATGTTTTTTCTGTAAATTTGGAGTTAACTTTTCTACTAACTTAGAACTTTCTTTTATAGTATTGTAGAATTTACACATATTTGTCCAACTGCTAATATTGATGTAGTTTGGTTTACTGCTACCTTTTGAAGAATCTAGCATGCTGAAAATCTCTATACTTGTCTTTCTGCATTATTGTTTATAGATAAGCTTATATGATACATTTTAGCAGTTATTATCTAATAATATTATGAGATGTTAGATAACTTCCTACCTTTAAGTATTAGAAATATACTTACAGCCAATCAGGATTCTCATTCTGTACTAACTTTGTACAAAAGATTTATTTCTTTATTTCCTGATCCTTTTGACTAGAAGCTATAATGTGTCAACTTTTAACTCAAATTGCAATGTTTTCTGAGTTGATAGATTGTGGGGGGGGGTTTTTTTTAAAAAATAATAATAATTTAGCTTTCACAATATTATCATAATATAAGCTATTTCAAAAGTACATGATAAAGAAGGCAAATTAAAAGAAAGTGAGGGATAGAAACCATATCATAAAATGAGTTTGTTGGAATAAACTATAAACCTGAAAGTAGATGTATGTCATCATGAATGTAGCTTAGCGAGGAAAAGGTTTTCACATTACTTATCATTATGAGTTATAGGTATGTTAAGGCTTTTACGCATATGACTCAAATGAGTCATATGACTTATTATGTTATGATTTATTATGTTTCGCATATGACTCGATTATGAGTTATAGGATATACACCTAGTGAGTGTGCCTTACAAGTATGCCTTACGAGTATGCCTTGCGCATATGACTTATGTTTCACACATGACCTTGTTATGAGATCATGGATCTTACACATGTGACTACTTTATGTCATATCACTTGTTTATTATGTTATGATTGGTTTATGGGTTTTTGCACAGACCTCGCTATGAGATCTTGGGTTTTGTACATGTAACTACTTTGGTCATATAACTAGTTTGTTATGATTTAGTTTTATGTATGTGACTACTTGAGGTCACATGACTGGTGTGGAAAGAGTACTATATAAGGAGGCCAGTATGGCCGAGGAGGATAGGCTCTTCATGCTTTGTTCTAAGCACTTTCCTTGTCCTTACCATCACTCGACCTCGGTAGTAAGCATCTGTACCTACAATGATCTTTAATGCTTGGCAGTCATTTGTATTTGTCCAGTAGCCTGGCATTGAGGGTTATCATATAGCTGAGGGCTTGTCTCCTGGTTTGTATTTTGTTTTGTCACTAGCTGGTTATTGCTACCATGATACTAGCACTTCGAGCTTTTCTTTAACCAGTACGGGTACTTGATTAAGGATTTTGTTTTATATTTTGTTTTAAGTATTATTTGATACTTAGTTTGTTTTAAGTATTGTTTGATACTTGGTTTGTTTTAAGTATTGTTTGATACTTAGTTTTGTTTATGTTTTATTTTAAGTATCACTTTGATACTTGGTTTGTTTTAAATATCATTTGATACTTAAGTTGTTTTACCAAAGTGTATCACTTCATACCTTTGATTAGTTTTATTCATGCTAGACATGAACAAGATTTATGTATTTAAAAACCGCCTGATTTCACGATGGAAAAGGCAGATTTCAACAGATAGTATTTTAATTTACTTGATTGAATGGTTACTCCTTTGTTTTCTCAGAAGGCCTTTGAAGCCTTCTTTTCTTCTTTTGTTCTCACCTCTCGTCTCCTCTCTGGTAGAGTAGGCCACCTGCTAACTAGTATACCTATTACCGATAAGATGATTAGCACCTTGCAAATACATTACACTTTCACTGCGGTCACTTACAAGCACCTTTCAGTAAAAGATCTTTGGCTTCCTGTCTATCATCTACCTACAAGTTTAGCCTTCGATTGTGGGGATTGAAAATTGTATTTGGGGAGATCACCCATGTCGTTCTTTGGGCCAGTGCATATATCTTATTAGATTTTAATGGAGTTCTTCGTTCTCACGATACAACACGCCTACAAGTTTGTTTGATAACTATCCTGCATCTTTATCTCATTGTATCAGCTACATCACTACACAAGAGATGAGGGTGTACTGTTCTGCCCTTCTTCATTATATTTTGTTTCTACTGTTGGAATCTTATGATGTTCTTTATCACAATTTCCTTGTAGCTTTTATCCTTGTGGTATTTACAGTGGTTCAGTCAGGTATCTCCTCCTCACATGTTTCGTGGAGATGGCCTTGACCCTGAAAAAGCTTGACCTCCTGGTACAGCTTTTATGGTTGCCTGGGATGGTGTGGGATAATTGGCTGCCATACACTTGTGTTGTCTGTATATTGGGGTAGTTTGGTTGTGGATTGTAGTTGACAGCTTCATCCATTGCAAGTAAGGCCTACCTTCCATTAGTTTGCTTCTGTTTATTCACTCCACCCCTTCCTGTCACATTGGTTGGAAATGTCTCTCACACGTTGTTTTGTCTATGTCTTTCACCGAACCTGTAGGACTGGCCTCTGTCGGCTCTGCCTAACCTTGTCCCAGCCCAATTGGACATTAGTTTAGTTGGGTTGGATGGCATAGCTGGTACCAGTACCTTTGAGTATTGGTGCTGCCTCCTTTGTAGCTCCCAGGTGTAGCTAGTAGACTCCCCTCAGCTATATATTGTTGGAGGTTAGAGTTCTGTTAGTGTAGCCAAGACTTGTGGCTGCCTGTTGAGATCAGGTATAGGCTGTCATATGGCTGTTGGACAGTTGATCTGTCTGAGGGGCTGAGGGAGCTGGATGGACTCTGTGGCGTCTGGTGTGTGGGCTTGGAGAGGGCTGACTGGGAGGGGGAGAGGCACCTGCAAGCATCAGTCAGGCTCATGTCAGGTTGGGCAGGGTCTAATTAAGTGTTTCCAGCTACCCCTTGGCTGTCAAGGTCAAGTTGCTGAGTGCTGTATTGCTCCTGATGGACTGGCTGGTTGATGGCATCCTGTGCGAATAGTAGATTGCGACCACCTGGTTTAATATTTTTGAATCTTGCGTGCTGGGTTCTGTGGAATTTGTTTGGTTTTCTTGGTTTGGCTGTGATATGGTAGGAAAAGGCAATGCACTATAGGTAAGAGATAGACCCTATTAACTATTATCTGTCTATTACTACCTTTATATATTTCTTTTGTTTTGGGTATTTGGTTTGGTTACGGGCAACAGGTATAGGTCCTCCTCACTGGTACGCTCTATGGAGGCAACTGGCAAAGTGGATTGATAGGGTCAACGGCCTGGCATGTAGGTACAAGAAGTGGACATGTAGGTTGCTTCCTTCCTGCCATTGTGCCACCTGTGGAGTTAGATTGTTTTTAGTTTTCTATTGTGCTGGATAGGGCTGTGGGACAGTATATAGACCAGGTGGTAGTGTTTTATTTAGTTTAGTTTTTTTTTTTTTTTTGGACGAGGAACTCAGTTGGGTAGGTCTTTTGTTTGGCTGTGGGTACACTTAGTGCTAGTTAGCTTCATACCAGAGGGGCTATAGACTTGGACCAAGGAGGGCGCTGGGTTTTTTGATGGTCTTGTAATTAGTTCTCATATGGGTATAACTCAGGGATGGCAGGTACAGGACCATAGACTTAGTTAGCCTGTAGTTAATAGTATACTGGCTAGTGGTATCCCTGTACCAGCGGGTGCTTATTGTATGCCAGTGTTGGATGTATGAGTTTAAATAAAATTAGATTGAATTCTAAGTACTTTTCCTACTTATTATTTATGCCTTTATGAATATAAAACACATTTACACTCATTACTATTATTACAACCTTTATTACTATTATGATGAG